CGGCACCTTTGTCCTCCTGCCCTCCGTACCTCTCCCGTTCCCGAGCCGCTTCGTCCATCCCCACCCTCCTCCCTGCCTTCCCGGTCCCGGCGCTTGCCCTTCCCGGGCTGCGCGGCCCCGACCCCGCTTTTCCCTGGCTTGTGGGTTGGGGCGAAGGCGGCGGCGGTCTCTGTAAATAGCGTGTGCTGGAGGGGGGAGCACTGAGAGTCCGTGCTGGGCTCGTCCCTCTGCCTGCGAGATGGTCTGGGGAGCAGGAGAGATGTGAGGTTGGCTTCTGTGAGCGGAAGGGGTGACTGATTCCGTATCTGCCTTTGACTGCGTTTTCACAAAACATCCCGAGTTTGGGCTGGTTTTGATTTTTCCGTGTGGCAGTTGTTCTCATACAGCGAGAAGCTGTTGAGGATCAAGTATCTTTTAATCCCCCCATCCCCCGAAGTCACTAGTCTTGGAAAGTTGGGGCTTCCTAACCAAAAGCCGATTGTCATTTTGTCCGGAGTGAGGACGCCTGGACTCTGGCGCTCTCTCCGTCCCCCTGGGTGTGCTTGTGTGTGTCTTTCTCTAGCAAGTACTGATATTCCCATCGTCTTTCATACTCCTTAGCCTTCCTGCCACACTCCCTGTTTTGATTTCTTGATGCTCATTCGTTCTTCAGCTTCCTAGGTCTTCGGTCAGAGATTTTTTTTTTTTTCATTTTTTTAATGTCATTTCACTATTGCTTGGAGTACTTAAAAAACGGCTTGTGAATGATATAAACAAGCTGCCTGTTGAATATTTTTCTGTAAATTCTTTTGTGGTACCATAATTGTTTAGGTTTTTATGGGTTGTTTTATTTACTTTATGCCTGACTCCAACTTCTGGAGTCCCAATAGAAACATTGACAAATGAAGCAGCCTCTTCCCCCCGCCCCGTTTTCATCCCCATCCCTGTCCTCCACACACACGCGCTTGCGTTGCTAAATCATCCATTTGGATCGCTGTGCTCTCCGGTTGGGTAGATCGTACAGGGACAAGATGTTTGTTTTGGGAAAGAAGGCAAGGGGCTGACTGTACATTCTAGATGCTCTCCTTTTTCCTCGCTTCTCCGAAATCCTTGTATAGGTTCTGTGAAATAACTGATCTTTGCTTGAGTAGAAATTGCACAGGTTCCTTTGCTGCTGTGCTTATTTTTTTCTGTCATCGTGTGGAGTAATATTTGAGGGTTTGAATGTTGTTTGGGGTTTTGTTTTAAATCGCGTAATGCCCAAACGAATTGTAAAGAACTGTCGGTTTCAGTCAGTTACCAGGGTATCTACACAAACTTCGGAGACCTTTCTCTTCCCCAGTATAAATGGAAATTTATGTAGGAATGTCAGCTTCTACGTGTCTCCTTAGCAACATGAATCCTTTGCCCCTTCTCCCTGTCTCCTGAAATAGTATCCCCTTGATTGCAGAAAGACTTTTCAGATGGCTTGAATGAGAACCGGCTTAACCCCCCCCGGCTCCCCCCTCAATCCATCTCCCCACCACGCATGCGTGTATACATACACACACACACACACACACAAGTGGGACATTAAGAAAAGCAGGACAGCTTAGGGAACAGCATAAAAGGACACTAATCTCTCTCGTTGCTTTATCGGTCACCTGTCTGTTTCTGGGAAGGTGGAAGATGAATGGGTGAGGATGGCTAGGAATGAAATGTAGTTTTGTTGGATGCTGTGTGTTGAAAATTTGACCTCTCCTGGTGCTTTTTTCTACCCTGTGCAACAGTTCCTGCCGGTCCACTTTTATTCAAGTTCCTTACTCATTTTCCTTAGATGCTTTCCAGTCTAGTGGAGCCAGGTTTCACAAGCTACTGGGGAAGAAGTGAATGATTGTTTTATTTGAGGTGACTGGAATAAACCCTTCATTTTCCTCATGTTTGGCACACAATGCTGCACTCTGAGGAGACCTGAAATATGAGAAACTGTACTGTTCTCCCTTCGCCTTCTGCTAGTGTGTTACAATTCCCATTAAAGTCAACGGGAAGGCTCCTGGTAAGTTCACCAAGTTGGACTGGGCTCATATTTGAGACCATTTTGTGTGCTTGCCTTGATGTTTTAAGTGCGCTTTCCTCCTACTTCAGGAATCCAGCAAGCGGTATATTTCGGAGACAGCAGAGAGCTCCCACAGGGAAAGCTCTTTTAGCTTGATACCAGTGCAAGCAGCTTTGCAGCTGGCTAGCTGTGAAAAGCAGTAGTACACACAGAAAAAAGGCATCTTCACCCATGGTTTTAACAGATTTACTTCATCATCCCTGGAAGGAGAGCACCTCAAGTGGCACCGTCAAGGGCAAGCTCATGCTAGAAGCTGTTAAAGCATATTTGAGGTTTAATTAAAAACCTTTGTTGTAATTAGATGTAGGACCCCTGACTGCTATCAAAAGGGCAACTTAGTAGTGGAGAGCAGAAGGAAATGTACAGAGCATGATTACATTGGCTGTTATAGCAGGAAATAATCCTTCTCGGTTTTCCTTCAGTGTTGCTAGTGCTTGGAGTATATATTCTTGCATTCATTCATTCACTGTTTTGAGGGCTTTTTTTTTTATAGCTTGCAAGCAATCCTTTGCTCTCATACTGCTTTTAACGTTGTGTAAGTACTTCACAATATTGCTGGTTCAAGTATGTAAAATAGTGAGTCAAATTAATTTTTAGAAATCTGAAGGTTATAAAGTATCTCATCTTAATTTGATTTTCTTCTTTTTGAGTCTTTAGGGTCTATGTAGATCACCTTTTCATTTTTTTTCCTGTAATTGCAGGAGCTAGAAAGGTATTCTTGCATGTGCCTCGTCTCCCTCTTCCCTTGATGAAATCCTAAAATTCCCACTAATAGCAACTTCAGGAGCTGAAAAACTAACAAAGTTGCCAGTATGGAAAGCTTCGTGATAAAATCTTGAGATCCAGCAGTGCTGCTTTACAGTTTCACCAGCTGTCTGGGCATAAAATTATTTTCTATGATCAAAGCTTGACTTGGCTAATGCACAAGTTGGCTTTAAGTCAGCTGTATTTTAAGCTCATGTGCTAAACTTAAAAAAAAACAAAACACCAAACTTACAGGGTTTGGAGTGTTCCTTTGGTATCTTTAAATGAAATTTTTTTAGACCTCATTTGAAGTGGATTATGTCTAATTTGTGATGGTTCATTTGCAGATTTATCAGGAATTAAGAGTTATGTATGAATATTTATTCCTACCACAGCATCTACCTAAAATGCATCTTCTGTACAACTGCGTGCCGTTTCTGTACCTGTACAGGTAGTTGTCATCATCTTGCAGAATTAATAACAGTAAATTTGAATTTTTGCAATAGACTGCAGCCATTATAGTTCTTTAAATCAAAGATATGCAAATATGATGTGGAAGACATAAATGGTTCCATAGAATCTGATCTTCAGGTAAACATTGTGTATTTTGGCTTCAATACATGTATATGCTATTCATAGAAAACAATGGCTCCTTCGCAGCATTTCAGTTTATTGTGAAAACAGCATATATAAAAATAGGTTTGAATGGTTTCATACTGGTTAACTGTATTCATTCTGGTTTATGGGGGGCATATGACTTTGTTACTACTCAACCTGTATATTTGATTATGCAATGTTCAGTTTTCTATAAGATCATTATACCCTAAGAACTATCTGTGAATGTTTGAAAGACAAAGCAATCTCAAGGAAATAAACATGCACAGAGATCCTGTTGTGCTTAAACTTAGTGGTGAACAAACCGTAAAGGTAAGCTTAACTTACAGCATAGTGCAGTAAAATGAGTCTAGTTTTGTGCTTATAATTCTGTTCTAATTTGTTCTTAAAATAAAAAAAGCATCAGAGGCTGCTCATTCGGTAGCACTTGAAGGGGTTTAACCTTAATTATACATTAGATGCAGATATCTGAATTAACATGGCTCGATAGTCTTGGATGGTATCTGCTTGTTTTGAATCTACGGGGTTGTTCCAAGGGGGAATTGCTAGCTCAAAAGCAGCTTCCTCATTAGAAAATTTGGATCGTTGCTCAGAGTTGATGTTGACACGTATTTGTAAAAAGCTCAGCAAGGCTGATAGTTTGCTATAAAATAACATAAGAAGAACAAATGTTATCTTACTAAGTCTGAAGAAAGTTGCTCATACAATGTAAGGAGCAATTAATAAGACATTCCTTCTGGTTTTGAAAACTGTAGTCTGTCGTTTTGCGTATTACTCTCTTTAATAATCATCCCCAACACTTTATCTGAAGGTGGATATAAAATCAAAAGCCATACTACTTAAAACTCACCATCTAAGACACTGAGCAAGCTGATTTAACTTTGAAGTTGAGTCTGACTTGGAGATTGGCGCTGCTTTCCATGGGAAGCTGGACTAGATGACCTCCAGAGGTCCTTCCCAACCTGAATAATTCTGTGGTTCTATGATGACTGATACTCTGTTTTATGCCTAATGTCTACCTGGCTCCTTCAGTGTGTTCAAAATGCCTTGAATTTGTTGATTTCCTCTCACAGTAGCCTCAGGTAGAATATTTTAAGGTATGCTCCCTTTTTTACAAATGGACCAGTTATTTTAGCCTCAGACTTCCCAAGGCCATGCTCTGTGGGAGCAGCAGATCTAAGACTCCTGTTCAGTAGTCCTGACCTTTTAGTATGACAGAGGCTACCATTTCAGCCCCCCTTCTCCAACCAGCTAAGAGACGTGGTTACAGCACATTCGTGTGTAACGTGTGAAGTTTGTGTGCGTTTATCTGATCGGATCAAGAGCACCATACACCTTGTCATTGATAATACTCTTCAAAAAAAAAAAAAAGGGAAGACTTCTAGCATTAGTGGGTTATTGTTACTGCTGCTGTTCACTGCAATTTTAAAATCAGTAATGTATCCTGTTGCTTTAAGTCTTGTTTATTTAATAAAGAAGTCTTGCACCAGTAAGTTAAAAGATGTTCCCTGTGTTAGGGATAATATAAGTGGTTTAAATATTTCATGAGACTTTATATTTAGAATCACGTAGAGAGTAACCTTGCCTCTGTTACTGATTTGTGGCCAAAGATGACCACATAAGATTCAAGGTAACAAGCAGGAGGCAGGGTAAAGTCTATCCAGCTGTACTGCTTTATGTGTTTTTACTTGTTCCATTTCTGTAATGTAAAGGCCATCATTTTGATGGGAAGTACTCCTTGAACTGCTTTAAATGCTAATTGTTTTTCTCAAGGAACAGTGGAATAAGTTTTGAAAATGGCAAAAGATTGCCGGTTTGCTTGAAGAACATCGGTAACTGTGGGAAATAATTACATTCCTCTTCCAATGTGAAGCGTACTTCTATCTTCTTCAGATTGCTAAAATGTAGTAGTATATATAGAAGAGGTCAGAAAAGGTGAGCTTTTCTTGAAAAGCTTATATAACACATCTCCCACACTTCTCTCCTAATGACATAATTCTAAGATTTCCAGGTTTTTGTGAGGTTCTTGGAGTTGTGGGTGTGTGCGTTTTGTTTTTTTTTTTTCTTGAATGAATGAATATCCAGTAATTAAAATGGCATAGTAGTGAGCTAATCTCAGAAGAATGCCATGTATCCAATGGAAGAAATGCCTGAGTACATGCTGTGCTATTCTGTGAATGAATTATAGATTACATGACTTTCTGTAATGCTGTGCTTGTCTTGAAGTCCTCTGTTGGCAAAAGTGATGTGCGATGCATGCTGCCTTTAAATAATAAAATAAAGATCTATATAATGGCAGCACTTAACTCTTTATTTGAAGATGCACTTCATTTAAAAGATTTTACTCCATGATTGCGGAAATACAGGCAGGCCATGGCTCAGAGAGCAGCTGTGTAAAAAAAACCCCAAAGTGTATATATCTTGTATAAGTAAGGAATGGAAGCTTTAGTCTTCAGGAGAGATGTGTGTCGTGGGCAGATGAGCAAGCACCTGCTATGTTTCAAGTTGCTCATACATCTGTAACCCCCCCAGGCATTAGAGTGTCATCTTGTCTTGCAAAATCTGTCTCCTTTGCACAACAGCAGAGTTGCTTACCATATTTTTATTGCTTTTGTTGTTCAGTCTGATCTCCTGTAGAGACGGGAGATAAAACTTGTGGTGGTGTTGAAGCACACGAAAAGTTTGAGTCCAGCAGTCTCGGGGCCACGCATAGTCTGATGAACACGGCAGCTGAAAGGGAGACATCAGGCAGATTAATGCAGTCCGTATCTTATGCGAGACTGCCACAGAGATCATCCTGAGAAACTGAGCCCATTTATTCTTTGTGTACTGCTCGCTTCTCTGGGAACCAGCTGTCCCCTGCGTGCTCAGTGGCATCTTTGGGTGGAAGGCAGGAGAGGTCTGCTTGCCATTGAAAGGTGAGCGTAGTCTGCACCATGGCTGCCTAATGAGTCCCCTGACCCAGCAAGCACGTCCTTCCCAGGCTGAGGAGGGTAGTTGGTAGAGCACTTACTGCCCAGAGCATCCTGCCAGCGGGCTGTTACCTTGCCTGGAACAGAGCCAGCCTCTTCCCCTCTGATCATGGTTATCTTGCTGTGGAGAAAAGGAAAGCCGTAGGAGGAGCCTGAGTGAGAGAGATGCACTCTCTCGGTGACTGCTAAGGACTTTTCCCTCAATGCTGAGAGCGCCCTGAGTATGGGCTGCCTTACGGTAACACTCGGGTATTTTTGTATGTCAGTGGAAAGGTGTGTAAACAGCAGCGGAAAGTTGGAAGGGACCAGTTAGGTAAGAGGCACTTCAAAGCAAGACTCATATTTGGATTCCCTCCTACCTATTTGTTCACAGACCCCATAGATCTCATTTTTGTCTTTTTCCAGCTTGGGTCTAGCAGACGGAAGAAGAGTGCGGTTTCAGTCTACCCTAGTGGTTAAGAAATTCTTCTGGGAAATGGGAGCAGAGGTTCAAGTCTGGAGCTGGGAAGCAAAGACCTTGCAGTTTCTGAGAAGCCCTCTAGCCCCTGATATATTGCAGCTAAGGAGATGCTTGCCTTTCCTCCATAATCAGTCAGCTGCCATCATTAG